GCGATGGGAATCCCCTCGCGTTTAAATAACCACACACAACAGTTCCCAGATTTATACGTTAGAACACGTGTTCTCTTTAGCTTCAAAATGGAACTTGAAGTTTTACTTTTAATAAATCTTTATTGTTGAAAGTATTACATAAGTTCCCCCCCCCCCCAAGCCCTCACCACCCTCCATCTGTGTCTGTGGGCCATGCACATACGCACATGAGTTCTTTGGTTGATCTCTCCGCCCCTCCACCCTCCCCTGCCTTCCCTCTGAGGTTTGACTGTCTGATCGATGTCTCCATGTCTCTGGCTCTATTTTTATTCATTAGTTTATGTTGTTCATTAGATTCCATAAATGAGTGAGATCAGTTGATATTTATTTTTCTCCAACTGGCTTATCTCACTTAGCATAATGCTCTCCAGGTCCCTCCATGCTGTTGCAAATGGTAAAGGTTCTTTCTTTTTTACGGCAGCATAGTATTCCATGGTGTAGATGTACCACAGTTTTCTAATCCACTCATCTGCTGATGGGCACTTGGGCTGTTTCCAGATCTTAGCTATTGTAAATTGCACTGCTATGAACCTAGGGGTACATATGTCCTTTCTGATGGGTGTTTCTGAATTCTTGGGATCTAGTCCTAGAAGTGGGATCACCAAAATCCAACACTCTTTTTTTGATAAAAACTCTCAGCAAAGTGGGAATAAAGGGCTCAAACTTGAAGTTTGATCACATGCTAAGAGAAGGAAGTGAACTATAATGTAAGCAAAAGAGAGAGAGATCTCTCATTGTTTCCAAGATGCACATGGTTCCAATGTGGACATTTGGTGGGAGAAGCGGGGTGACGGGTCTTGGTGTTGTAACTCTTAGAATATTTTCAGTGTCTGGGAATAGGTCATACTTTGTATTTCCGGAAGGTTGATTTATTAATTTAACAAGTACGTTGACTTTAAAGGATGTAAGTTTGAGAGAAGTAAAATGATGGTAGAGTGATTGTGGAGCACATTTTGTTGAGGGATAGTTTTTCTCAGTTCATTTTCTTAGACAATTTTTTTTTGAAGTTTTATTTTGGTTCAAAAACTCAAGCTTTTAAATAGTCTCAACTCAAATAGTGGAAAGACTTATTTTTAACAAGTTCTAGCTTTCATGTGTCTCTTCTGTATCAGTGTATCAGTAGGTATGTTCCAAATATATATTGTACCATAACAGCCATTTTCATCTTCTTGGTTGATCCTTTCTGTCTTTTTTTATTTTTATATTTTTGTGATAATCCTCACACCTCCTCCAAAATAGAACTGTAATCCTTTTTATCTTTAGACCAGACTGAATCCCACATGTAAACTAGTTGTTATTCAATCTACGTCATCCTAGAGATTTTTTTTAAAAAATGGCATCCACAGGGCTTTCTGTTATGTTAGTCAGTTTCTGTAATTACATATTTACTGTGAGCTAATAATTTTCCCCAAGAGAAAACATTTTTGTTGAAAGAGAGACATAAAACTTCAAAAATATAGTGTGGCTAAGTTTCCCAGGAAATGGGCAGTTCTGCTGAAACATGCTCCCGCCCCCTGAGTATCACTTTCTCTCTCTCCTATTCTGAGCCAAGTCCTAGCTTCCCTTTTATATGTTTTCTCTGCCCACTCCCGCCTCCAGGGGCCATGGCCATGAACTCTGTGCCCACTCCCGCCTCCAGGGGCCACGGCATGAACACGAGGAGCCCGGGGCTCTGGTGCTGCTAGTGTGCTCTCCTCTGTCCTGTGTCCTCCCCTGAATTCAGCACCTGCACTTGTCTTTTACAACCCGGACATTTTCCAATCACATGCCCATGTGTGATCACTATCTGCACACTTAATACAAAACATAACGGTGGCACCTCACTTCCTGTAGAAAACAGCGAACAAGTAACAGACATTGGCGGACTGAAGGCATGTGTTAGGAAAATAACAGGGCATAAAAATATCCCACTCCTCTCCTTAGTGAATTCAGTGGGACACGTGCTGCAGAAGAATCGGCTCCCTGTCATCCTGAGGGAGACGCGCCCGTGAGGAGCGAGCGGCTGCGGACCCAGGACTGTTCCT